CAGTGATATAGAAAGAAAATTATATTCAAATTTTAAGTCTGAGAGTGCAATTTCTGGAGATGCCATAATCAGAAATTTTCTTGCCTCAGCCCCAACCATGGTGGGGCTGAGGTGATATAGATCCTCCATCTGTGAAAGTACCTCCCCAGACCCCCTCTACTTTGAATTCCTGGATCCACCACTGCCCATTTTAGTTTTCAGTTCAGTACCAACCAACCTTTTTAATACATAATCTCTACCACCATTTTTACAGAGACGGTATTTATGAGTGCATTGATTGGATGAAGAATATGGTTGTTCGAAATTCAATACGAAGACCACCAACAGAGAAAGATATCACATGATGAAGGTCATCCAATCAGAATTTAGATAAAATTTGTTATCAACAGAACGTGTTAGAACAATGTATTCTTTTATTTCAAAATACACTATCAATATCAAGTGTTATGTACTGAGTGACTCAGAATATACTATCAACATCAAAAAGTTCTGATATACATTATGTCAGTTAACAAATCAAAGAATATTTAATCTATTGTACATTTCCTGTATACTGTTGCAATGTTTCTGACTTTAGTATCAGTCATATAATTAATACAATTTGCCCTCCATATCGGACCATTGGGACCTGAAAAGGTGGAGTGTTCTCAGGTTTCAGTGTTCTCAGGGTTTGGTCTCCAATTGGAAGGTTAACTTTGTGTTAAACGATTGAAGATTGTTAGGTTGTACTTTTTTTAATGGTCTTGAATTATGTAGGTCAAACTGTACTATGAATAGTATAAATTGTAATTTGTTTGATAAAACATTAATAGACTATGTACATTTATCTATGATATTAAGATATATGTAGATTAATAATCTATGTACATTAAATATAACTGAGAACATTTTATATATTTATCTTACTATAGATAATAGTTTACCATTTTCTTTTGTTTTTTACTTAACCCATCAGACGATATTAATACTAGGCTTACTTACGAAAAAAGCATTACACTGGTTACCTTTTGAAAGTTGAATTAAGTTTGAAGTGTTACTAATATTTAAAGTGGTAATGGAGCTGTGTTAGTCTAAACAATATACAAAGAGAATTAAATGGCAGCTCTCTGAGACTAACTTGGATGTTATTTGTTCAACACAAGCTTTCGCTGGCAGTCAATGCCAGCTTCATCAGGTGTGTGAACTAAAAAATTGAAAACAAAATAGAAAAGAGCTTATGTATACATAATTAGCAATAGTCTCACAATTAACCAATTAGCAGTCGGATACAATGTAGTATACGATGATCAGAGATAACAAGTGTAATCAAGCAACTTACTATTCTACTAATAAATAGAGCTAGGCAGATAAATCTGTGCAGTCATGGATCTAATTATGAACAATGGAGTCAGTAAGAAACTAAATATTATAGTGGCTAAGAAAGCGTAGATCTATATTTGAGGCCACTATTAATGCAATCAAATTTATGAATAAATGTTTTGTTCGGCAATTAATCTGTCATTTCTCTTTTTAAAGCAATTACTTAGGAGCACAGCTACTTTAAAGTGTGCAATATTATGTCCTGGTAAATTAAAATGAACTGCAATAGGCCTATCTTTGTTGTTGTGAGGAATGTCAAATTTATGACAATTCATCTGTTGTGTGACAGTTTGTCCTATGTAAGTAGTACCAGGACATTTAGTGCATGTAATGGCATAGATGGCGTTAGATGAAAAACATGAAAACGATCCACTGATGTATGTAACTTGATTAGGCCCTGTAATGGTACTGCTAGTGTTGATATGTGGGCAAAGTCGGCATTTCTGTTGGTTACATGGAATGGTGCCCTTAGTGGTGGGGGTGTGGGGTACTTTGTTAGAAGTAAGCTGTTGTTTGAGGTTGGGTGGTTGTTTGTACGTAAGCATAGGTTTGTTAGGTATGATTTTATGAAGTACAATGTCACTATCTAGTATAGGTTGTAGATCGTTGAAAATGTGTTGTAATGTTTAATGAGTGGATTATATGTGACGATAAGTGGGACACGATGCCATCGGTCTCCTTCTTTTTGTAGGTCATGAGGTTTTCTCGTGCTATCCTAGTGGCTTTAGAGATTTGTTCATTAACAAGTTTAGAATTGTAGTGCAGATTGTTGAATTAATTACGGAGGTGGTTGAGTTGCTGTTCCCTATCAATAGTGTCAGAGCACATACGATGATGTTTATTAAGTGCCTGGCTTTAAACAATAGATTTGGTTGTGAGTGGTGGATGAAAGCTGGATGGACTGAGATAAGTATTTCTGTCTGTAGGTTTACGGTAGATAGGTGTGGCTAGGTTACTATTGTTGATCTTAACTGTGACATCAAGAAAATTCACATGAGTGTGTGAGTGTTCGAGTGTGAGTTTAATTGATGGGTGGGAGTCGTTGAGTGCCTGATGGAAAGCCTTTAACTCATTAATACCATGTGTCCAGATCATGAATATACCGTCAATAATATTTAAGGTATCCAAGTGTAATATGAGTGGTAATTTGGGGCTGTCTTCTAATTAAATGCCTTCCCATCACACAAGCATGGGAATCGGTATTTGTTGACCAATTCAACAGAGCCATTATGACGCATTTCTGTTCTTAAATTAATTGTCACAATAGGCAAAGGTGTCTGTGAAGTCTCTAATCACTATTAAGGCACTATGGTGGCCCTTGGGACTAGGTCTGAGGAGAGAGTTCACTGTAGGTACTTTGGCATTTTTAACATCTAAAGGATGTATTGAGTTATTTTTCTCCTTAAAAGAATGCCTATCCCTTAAAGTATGGGGCCCCTGCCTTAAGCCAGTGTGACCTTATAGCTGTTACGTCACTGTAATGTACTGTATTATTGTATGATATTAACTAGGCTTAGGGCAAGCAAGATAAATTGAGCATAACCATAATTATTAACTAGTAAACAATCTGTATGTTAGATACTCTCCAAATTTATTTTTTGTCATCCTCTGCAACAGTATAATATGTACACTAAAACTTAAAATTATTGTTTTCCACAAAAATCGGCCAATATTGGCATACAACAACTGAAACATTCCAGAGACTACTAAAATTCTGTGTTACATCTGTAGATGTTTACTGGATAATAGCCTGAGAGAAGCCTTTTCCTGTCTCCTTTTGTAGGTCGATGGGATGCTGTTCATTTATACTTTTTCTGTCACTAGTTTTATTATTCACTGAACTGTTGTACAATTACGATTCAGTCTTCTATAATTTGCTGTAGCTATCATGCTTCTTTACTTCATGATCTGTTTACGTCTTGGTGATTCGAATTAGTAAATCATATTTTAAATCAAATTGAATGCTTTCATTCACCAATAATAATAGATGGTACATAAGTACAAATATTTGCAAACATTGACAAAAAGGTAAGAGCGATAAAACTCAAAAGATTGTCATTGGTCCTACAATTGATATGATTGTGCAGTAGGCCTATTGTAATTTCTTTTATAATATAGTTAATACATAAAAGCAAAATATACAAGACAGATATATTTATTGAATATATTATGAGTATTGAAATGAATAGCATGGTTTAACACCGACCTGTACAGGTAATGTCTTAATAAAAGATTGTTATAAACTATTCACAAATATTTAAAAAAAAATAATAATAATAATAGTGAACATTTACAACTGGTGGGGGAGGCTTCAGGAGTGCCTTTGCTTGCCCAAGGCAGATATTCCTAATTAGCAGCTCCTAGACTCACGGAGGGAAGGAACGTCTCACGTTTCCATTTATGGGCTGCCCCTTAAAGGGGGTCCCACACCGCTGCCCTTACGAGAGTGGCCTAAACTTAATCTATGCCTAAAAGTACAATATTGAAAAAAATTTAAACAGATTAGTTAGTGTGTAATTATCGTAAGGATGAAGTGAACAAAAACGTCGTAAGCTGATTCTTATACATGCTGAGGGAAGTACTTTGTTTAATGTTATCCGGTAACAGATTACAAATGCAAGTTAAGGCATAATATTAAATTTATGAAAATTAAAGATAAACATTGCATTCTGTTCTACGTCGGTGAAAGTAACGTGGCATTAATTTACGATAAATATAAATTATCTTCGAAACTTTATTATACAGTATAAATAATATAGTACGTTGAGTTGTTGATAAATATCTGTTTGAGTTGCACTTAAGAGAGCGAAGCCTTACTAAATTACATGCATGCCTTTTTGAGAAAATATAAGCTTAAACTACTATTACAAGTTTTATACGTTTCATTGAAAACATTCTACGTCGGTGAAAGTAACGTGGCATTAATTTACGATAAATATAAATTATCTTCGAAACTTTATTATACAGTATAAATAATATAGTACGTTGAGTTGTTGATAAATATCTGTTTGAGTTGCACTTAAGAGAGCGAAGCCTTACTAAATTACATGCATGCCCTTTTGAGAAAATATAAGCTTAAACTACTATTACAAGTTTTATACGTTTCATTGAAAACATTCTGTTCTACGTCGGTGAAAGTAACGTGGCATTAATTTACGATAAATATAAATTATCTTCGAAACTTTATTATACAGTATAAATAATATAGTACGTTGAGTTGTTGATAAATATCTGTTTGACTTAAGAGAGCGAAGCCTTACTAAATTACATGCATGTCCTTTTGAGAAAATATAAGCTTAAACTACTATTACAAGTTTTATACGTTTCATTGAAAACATTGATAAAATAACCGTGGAATCGGTTTACATTATTCCTTCTTTAAAGAAGTTACTGTTTTTTTTTAAAATTATTATTTACGGGTTCGACAGCATTTCACTACATATTGTATAGTTTCAAGACGTCATCATAGAATGGAATCATAAATGAATAGAAGTTTTCGATTATTACCGCGTTCCTGTTGATTCGTGTGTTATTATTTGAAAATCGTGTACACGTGAACGGTACACTGCCAGTAGGTATAGTCCATGGTTGAAGCTGATGAGAAAACAAAAGACATTATGCAAATGAGATTACCGTGATATTAGTTAACGTCAAACAAAAGCTAGGGGCTGCGTCATAGATTATACTGTAATTTAAAGAGCATTTTTTCATATTAAGTTCATAAAACCACTTGATATGGACCCCCTAAATTTTTCAAAATTGTAATTGGAGAAAAAAAGAAAATTACATTCAAATACGGTCTGAGTGCGCCATTTCCGGCCATCTAGAGGTGACTTAATCGTAAATTTTCTTTCCTCAGCCCTAACCATGGTGGGGCTTAGGTGATATAGACCATCCATCTGTCAAAGTCCCTCCCTGTGGGTCCCCTCTATTTCAAATTCCTGGATCCGCCACTGATAATTAACTAGGCCTATGGAAGGAATGCTGAAGTTCGTGTTCCAGTGATGAAATCGTTTAGCTATGCCAAATGAGTTAGTAACACGTACACCGTGTGGCACACCGTCTACATAAACAGCTTTTAAATCATTACTAAATTCAATTAGGCTCCCACCCAACAATAAGATCAATAAAAATATATTAAATAAAACCTTAATTGCCCATTTAAGTAAATCATTATCGACTTTCAGTAAGTCGGTTTTTAATGATTGGCAGACTATTTTCTGTTACGAACATTTCATTTTTTCTGGCAGAAATTTAGAAGAATCTATGTAAAATACTAAGTTCGTTAATTTGCGATGATCTCGTTCTAATTTTAGAACTATTGAAAACTATTTCAAAAGAAAAAAAAAACGTTTGTTTTTTAAATACTCCAAGTTTATTAAACGTGGCATATTTAACGTTTATTTGAGATTATCCAAAGCAAATAGTCTTTAAATATAAGCTTTTGATATTGGAGGTTTTGAAGATATTCCGAATCCAATGAGGACAGAAGAAGTAAAGCGTTGAATTCAATATCTTACTTACGTAGTTATAAATTTCGGATTGAACACTCTGAATCGCTGTAAGAATTTGTTGAGAAGCGTGTGTATAATTATTTGGCAGCGCAATCAACACCTCTGTATCATGAAAACACTTCATACTGGCGTTGTAACCAGTTAGGTCATTATGATACTCTGCAAAGAGCCCGTTCTGACAAATACAAATATTAAAATATACTTTAACTGTCAATCAGTATAAGTACATAACATACATAGTGGAAATCTGCCATCCGTAGATTGTCAACAAATTTTGGAAAAGAATCTGTGTGGACTCGGTAACCGAGTCCACACAGAATCCACAACACTCTTTAAAAATGTAACAATAAACGAATAAAATTCCAGCTGTCATCTCAAGATCTTAAGACTCTTAATATCATTTTAATTTTAATATCTTGAACAGGTTTGATAGTCAGAGAGTACGTTATTTTGGTATCTGATAAATCGTGTCTGTGACTATTGGAAAGCTGTCTAGCCTACTTCATCAGACAAAATCACAAAACATTTTATATGGTGTTGCTGGGCCTTTTAGGGCGCCTTTGCAATTGTCGGAACTAAAAAAAAATGAAAACTTATTTTTATCCTTCCCGTGCTTCAATCTTTAATTTAAGTGAGAGACATGCATTTTAGTAATGGCATTTGGCGGGCAACCAAGATGTTAAGTTAAAACATCATAAACAAAATAGGCCTACTGTAAGATGGAGACGAAGCCTGACGTTGATTAAAATTGTCCTCGTCAATAATCAGCTAGGCCTATATTATTTGTAATTATACAGTCTAGTTTTTGGTATGTATGAATTTTACTGTCAACTACAGGCTACTAGTATTAAAATTACGTAAGCCGATTGTATAAGATATTAATTACTAAAAAAGAGCCCGTGGTTGGATTTTCAACCCACAGATATTTGGAGGCCAGGGTGGTCAGCAGGAATCGGGTGATGGCAAGGTTTAACCAGGCATGCTTTCTGTCTGCATGCCCTCCCCGGGCCCATCCCGACAGTTATGCTGTGCTGTACAGTATCATTTAATATTCATCATTCATATTAGGATAGTGCGCCCTCTGTGTACGTTTGTCTTTTTGTAATAGTGTGAATACAGTACAGTAGTTGGAATTTTTAAAGCTTACTCACCATCGTCATATTTCTCGCATAAATATCAGCCCTTTGTGTAAGTCCTTGATGACTTTTGTTCGTGGAATAACTTGCGTTTCCAAACCTATTAATTTTCTAAATTGAAGCATATGAGGCAAATGCATTAAATTGAGCGAAAGGTAAGCAAAACATTATTTAAACCGTATAAATAAATAAAACTCAGAAATTATCGAGGTATCAAAATGAGCAAACCAATAAGAGAGACGGACCCGTTTGTAAAAATCGTTTTGTTATTGGATAGCCTAGTTTTAGTTGCAGCCTTATAGACTGAAACTAAGTTACTGGTTTCGATGGTAATGTTTATAGACATGCGTACTTAATTTTAGTCTTGCTTAAAAGTTCAATCACCGGCTCGACGAATGTTTGAAAAATATTCCTTAAAACTATATCGATTCATTGATAATGAATAGTAACGATTACAAACTCTAAAATTATATGATTATTTTGTATTTGCTATTACGATCATTAAGTTATATTACAAAATGTGTGGTCAATTTAAAGTCGAAAGTGAATGCATATATGTACCCATTTATGCACTATATCATTTCAAAATTCAAAAACACTAGAGTTATGTGCTAGAGTAATACTTACATAATCAGTCCACGTAGCATTCACTATTTTGTAAAGTGTTTTTGTATTATCTTTTAAGAATGTATTTACCGAGAGAGTCGGTACCGGTGTAGCATCTGTCGATGCCACCAAGAACGACATCAGTGAATCTGTCAAAAAGTCAATCAGTAAAGTAAGTACGATACTGAACGCCCGCTATTTTAACTCCCTAGCTGTATATTCACTACAACCAACCGATTAAAATATGACTGTAGGCCTAAATGCTACTAGGAGCCCTTGTCGTCGGTAACTAAAACTAAAATGCATTTAGAACTTTTGGTGCAATCACAGTTAATTGATCATAACCTGTTGTAATGACAAATTATAATCATGTTTCCATATATAATATCTCGGAAGGGACTTGCATTGTGTTCGTACTCACATTAAACTAAAAACGGCTATCCAGTTGCACTAGAATTTGAAAAAAAAAAAAGAGAAGAAAACAAAACAAAAAAAGACTAGCCCTCGATTTTAATATGGCCCTGAACTATGCTTACTTCCTTGCTATTACATTAAATTAATAATATTAAACAATAATTTTAGGCATATACAATTAAATATCGCCTACAGACTGTGCCTAAATTATTTTTTTAAACATTGTATTTTTTTTAATGATTCTTCGACAAGTTGTAGCGTCGAGTGTATCAGTTTTCTTAATCGAATTAAAAGGCGTAGATATACTTACAAAAAACGATCAAGTTGGCGATATGCATTTGTCTTGTTTTAAGCTACATAAAATTTAGAATGTTCGCATAATGCGCAGGTTTTGCTTATTTATATCATTTTATCCAGTGTTAATTTATAGATTTTATATGAAATTTCCAACTTTGGATGTTGAGGCAATGTTTGATGAGTATTAATCGAAACTAGTTGCGGTGTGTCCAGGTAACAGGAAGACGGGTTAATATTGCAATGTTTTTGTCTTTACGATTTTCGATAAAGAGTGATTAAGGAAGATTGTAATCGAAATTGCATTCTATTCGAAGATCAACCGGATGTTTGTTAATAGGTCGTTACGTTCTTCATTTTTTAGCCTAATTTATACTGACGTTTGTATTTCTTAAATTTCACTTAATGAGATTACCCATATGAATTAAAGATATATATAATAATATTTTTAGTGGCTTAAAGCTCGAAAATAACCTCTCCCACCTCACAAAAATTTAAAAAATAACATGAAATTGTGTTATACAAGCACGAGCAACCCAAAATGTGAAAATTAATATATATATATTTTGGACGAAAAGTGAGTTCAACCTCAGCAGGTCAACAGATTAGAAATTGGTTGGGCTCTACAACCAATCGATATATTGTGCACAATAATGATAGTCGATAAACGTAGGCATATAATTACATTTATACAATTATAAAATTTGCTTATAAACATTTTTTGACATATGTATTGATTTAGATTCGATATTGCAACAAAATGAATGCCAAAAAATAATTACATAGCGTATTCTTTTTAATTACATCATGCCTGAATATGGTCCGTGATCTTAAGCAAGATGCAGCTCATTCTGAATGAACAAATTATGCCACATACATTTAAATTGTTACTCAATTGCCATTTTAGTTTAATAGTGAATCTATTACAGCTAATATTTAATTTCATATATTCGTTTCAAAACATTAATATTTACAAAACAGACTGCAAAAAAAAAAAAAAAAAAAAAAAAAAAAAAAAAAAAAAAAAACAAGCACACAACAACATCAAACAGGAGCAACCCAAATCTAAACTTAATCACTGTCGATTCTGGGACCTTTGACAAAAAAAGGGTTACAATATAAATTTTGTTTAAAGACAAAATATCTGAAGTTAAATTTGTTTTTAAATCAGTAGTAAGTACTGTAAAACGAGCAAATGTAATGTAAAGAAACAACAGCACTGAACACTGTTGTATACTGGCTGACAATAATTATATTGATAGTAATTATGGTCATAAAAAGGTATCGATCTGGATAAATTCATTCAGGAGCATTAAATGCATTTGTTTTATAATATCGAAACTAAAAAATAACGGATGTAGGGTGGTTTCGGTTATCATGTCATCATAATTATCATCATCATCATCATCATCATCATTTTAGTCATTATAATTATTGTTGCCGATATTATCGTAGTTGTTGTTACTGTGATTGCTATTCTTGTTGTCATTGTCTTAATCATCATCATTATTATCAACATAATTAATATTGTTATTATTAATGTGTGTTTTTTTTATATATAGTGTTTGTTATTTATACAGCCTGTATTCAACTTATGCGTTTTGCCTAGATTCGAAACATGGGGATAACGTCTGGACCAGTTATTATTATGAACATTTGAAAATGTACATAAAGTCAACTCTCGTATTTCGATTCATAAATAGTATACGTTGCCGCACAAAACACAATCCTTAAATATTCAATTCTTTGGATTGTTGAGTTTAGACGTGTGTTGAGTTATTGTTCTGCATTCAACATATGAGTTTAGTCTAAAATTTATCCAATAATAATAGATCTACATATTGGAATTTTGACTTAGGCCTACTGTGAAATCCACAATTTACACCCTGAATAGACACGTTGCTTCAGTATTAGTAACATCCTTTTGCGTTATCGTTTCAGCGCAAAGCCGGATGGAACGTAAGATCAACAGACAATAAGCACTTACCTTGGTAAGATGCAGGAAGACTGTCCTTCTGTTTGCATACATTGGCTACACATGGCCTAACCGTCCTGTAATTGGAAAAACCCGAGAAAGTTCAATTACATTTAATAGTTACAAGCATTAATTTAGCTATTGCACGCATGGTTTTAAAAGCCTATATCAATTGCCTGTAACAGTTTATTAGTAATACACCATGGGTGGGTTGTAAATTTGATGGAGGTTAAAATCGAATATGCTTAGGCCTAGTAAACATTGAAAGTAAACCATGTCTTTGTAACGTGTTTCTGACGTCTCCTCATAACCTGTAAGATATGGGTAGGCCTACATGTTAACTAGACCATTGTGTTTTTGGGTTGAATTATTTGATTAAAGTAAAATCTTTAAAATCAAATTAATCGAAATTGAGTTGTAGTTTTGTGTTTGACCCCGAAAATTGCAAGAACCAAAATCAAATATTTTGCACCAGTATTGGGCAGATTTGTGACAGGAAGGAAACTATCAATGGGCTTATTCGGACTGGACTGGCTCATTTCGTTGAGTACGAATTTTCATTGACTGGTTCGTAAAATAGACTTCGTCGACAACGAAAATTAACGTAACCAGAATGCGTTAATTAGCGTAAAGCTATGCACGTGACCAAAAAATATGCCCGATTGGGCAGTTTAGCAACAACATTTTCGTTAATTTAGATTAAATTTCAGAAAATAAAAATTACAATATTTACCCACATTGAAGTCAAAAAATAATTGTAGGCTAACAGAATTCAAAAACTGAATGAAAACATTTTTTTAGGAAAAACCCATAGTGCCACAACCTGAAGAAGCCTTGACTACGCAGCGTGTATTGCGGCAACTATGCAGACATTTTGTTTTGTCGAGTATTTACCAGTTTCTATTCGACTGGTCGTCTTCATTAAGTAGGATTTTACCACTGCGCAGGTGCGCGTGGTTTAACGAAGAACGACCAGTCGAATACGGTCAATTTCTCATAGGCCCAGGCCGCATGTCTAATGTTATTTCCTGATGTTCTAAAATAATTATCTTCAATACGCCCGTAAAACTTCTTATACCCTGGGTCACTATTCCTTGTTTGGTTTTTAGGGTGAGTTAACTATAGGGTTTACTAAATTAATTTGTGATACCATTGATTATCCTATCGGAAATTAGACCAACTTAATTTTGAATAAACTTAAATTCCTGATGATGACCCAATAAAGGTCGAAACGTTGAATCATGGCCTCCCTCTCTTAAAGAACAAGCTTGTATTGATTGGAGAAATAATCTTGAACAAAAATCTTCCCTTTCAGATTACTCAATTATTAAGGAAAGCCCTTGTCTAGAAAAATATTTACTTGAAACTACAGATTTTGAGGGTGCTTGCATAAAATTTAGATTACGCTCCAATACTTCACCTTTACAAGTTAGTCCAATAATAATAATTGTATTTGTTCTATTTGTAGTTTTTATTCAATTGAAGATATTAGACATTTTATTTTTTCATGTCCTTCCCTCCATAACATCAGATTGGAAGAGCTAGCAAAGCATGAACATAAAATAGTAAATACAAATAGGCCTATTTGGAACCAATTTATAAATTCAACCACCGACCAGAAGTTAATGTATGTTTTGGCTCTTTTTCACCAAATCTTCCAAAAGGAATTGTATGCTACAAGGGCATGGAAAAAGAGAAATGAGATTTTTTTTTAAATGAACGTTTTTTACTTTTGTCCTGTATTACTTTATATGACTTATCTATTTGATTTACTTTTATGTGCATCTGTGTGATCAGGTCTGATATGTGTGCTTCTTGTGTGATAGGTGGTGTTGTATAAAGTATGTACTGTACGTCTCTATGTTTGTATGTAATATTAATAGTGTAGTTTTATAACGCACATATATCCATCTAATGTAAGATGCTGGGCGCTTGATATGTGGACTAGGAACTCGATCAATGACATTCTTCGCCCCTAAGGGTCCCTTCGTGTCTGTGCTACCCGGTAACCCGGTACCAGCAACTCTCGTCGTCTACCACAGTGGCTGTCTGTTCCAGTACACCGGGGTATCCCCCTACTCGTCTCGAAGGATATACTGGGTTCTTTATAGTGCACACGAGCCATTTTATACACTGGGCCTACGGAGTCCTTATCCGAGAAGACTGTACCGTGAGTAGTGAGTAGTCATGTGATTATGGGTACAGCATGCAGTTTTGTATGGATATGTATGTACTTAAGTAGGCCTAAGTGTATTTCATGTACGTTTTGTATGGTGTTTGTATAATTTGTACATGTGTTTAGCTTGCATCACTTTATTTTGCCTTAAGTTTTTAGTTTAAGATTGCTTTTAAGTTTTACATGACTGAACACCTTTTTTTTTTACTTACCTTAATGTCCCTTTTGAAAATTTGAATTGTCTTTTTCTTAGCATAGGGGCGTAAGTTTTTTTGTGAACTTTACTGTACACTCTATTGTTTTGGACGCACCTTCTATTGAGAAGTACGTGCCACTGATTGAAAAGTGTAGTTTCTACGAAAGCCTATTCGTGCCACTTAAGTATATAAAAATCATCAAAATGTAATCCGAAATTTCGGATTAGTAATCCGAAATAACGGATTAGTAATCCGTTATTTCGAATTAGTAAATCGTATTTCGGATTACTAATCCGAAATTTCGAATTAGTAATTCGTTATTTCGAATTAGTAATCCGTTATTTCGGATTACTAATCCGAAATTTCGAATTAAGTAATTCGTTATTTCGAATTAGTAATTCGTTATTTCGGATTACTAATCCGAAATAACGAATTACTAATTCGAAATTTCGGATTAGTAATTCGTTATTTCGGATTACTAATCCGAAATTTCGAATTAGTAATTTGTTATTTCGAATTAGTAATCCGTTATTTCGGATTACTAATCCGAAATTTCGTATTAAGTAATTCGTTATTTCGAATTACTAATTCGTTATTTCGGATTACTAATCCGAAATAACGGATTACTAATCCGAAATTTCGAATTAGTAATTCGTTATTTCGAGTTAGTAATTCGTTATTTCGGATTACTAATTAGTTATTTCGAGTTAGTAATTCGTTATTTCGAATTAGTAACTCGAAATAACGAATTACTAGTTCGAAATTTCGGATTAGTAATCCGAAATAACGAATTACTAACTCGAAATAACGAATCATTCAGGAGCGATGACGTAGGCCTAGGCCTAGAGAGAGAGTTGGGACGGTAACGTCTTGCC